ATTTATTTCCATCCGTTATCGCTTGAAATATTTCAACTCAGTTTTTCCATGAGTTCAACGCATTTTGTACATAAATCTTTCCTGAATATGCAATGGACCCCACAATTATAACTCTTCTGTACTAATTAATCGGTAGCCAATAATATTTTCCACACTTTTATTTGAAGTTACGAAACCCTTATTTACGGACTGTTTAGCAAACTGTGTTTGGAAAGATGGTTGAAAATGAAAAAAGGAGCATTGCATTTTTTACACGTTACATGCATTCATGAAATACACAATGAAAATAAAGTAGGCAAGCTGAGTTTGTCAGATACCCTGAATTCTTTATTATGTATTTTATCGCTTTTATTTGAAAAAATTAAATAGAAATGATTTTAAATTCTAAATAGAATGAAGTAAAGCAAATATTATCATTTATGCTTGATAAAGATGATAAATTTCAATTTTCCTTTTATAGTTTATACTTTTTATAAGACAAACATGTCTGTGTGGTTTTATATCTTTTTTATTTTTTAAATATTGAGATTTTTCATGTGTTTTTCGTGTAAGGTAAAGCCGTTTTTCTCAGGTATATTTCTTTTTTGGCGGATTTTTTATTATCTAAGTGTTTTTAATATGGATATAGTAAAAGACGTTTTATCTGTTTATTAATTTTGGGTTTTTATAAGAAAAACATTTCCATGTGGTTTTATCTTTTTTTTTAATATTGTGATTCTTGATGTGTTTTTCCTGGGTAAAGCCGTTTTTTCCCAGGTAAATTCCTTTTTATGGGGAATTTTTTTTATTATATGTGTTTTTAACATAGATCTATTAAAATGCTTTTAATTTTGTTTATTAATTTAGGGTTTTTATATTTAAAAAAAAATTCCATGGTTTTATATCTTTTATTTTTTAAATGTTGTGATTTTTTATGTTTTTACTTTTTAACTTACTTTTATTATCTAAGTGTTTTTAACATAGATATAGTAAAAGACTTTTTATCTTTTTATTAATTTATGGTTTTTATAAGAAAAACATTTCCATGTGGATTTATTTATTTTAATCATTAATTGTGATGATTAAATACGACTTTTATTTGTTCGTTTTTATTGACCAATTGTTTTTTATTGTTTTGTTATAACTGTTTAAACACATTCACCTCAATGTTAAGGACGTTTTTGTTATTTTCATATAAGGAACGTTTCACGAATTTGAGTCAACGTCGGCACAATGGTATTGCTGCACATTGGCGGTTTTTGCCACTTAGCTACGTTGCGGTTGTGAGTCAGAATATCAACCGTTTCCGTATAATAATCAAGCGAAGGACATTCCTTTCAGTTTTAGACCGGTGCTGTGATCTATCTTCATCACCGTTGTTGTCGATTTCACAAAATGTTTTCCGTTTCAAAAAAATAAAAAATAAATAAAACAAAACGGCAAAGAGAAAATGGGGTCAAATCATGCGCATCGTGTTGCACATCGTAATACACGCACTATCCAATAATTTATCTAACTAAATTAACTCAATCTAAAACATGAAGTTTATTAGAGGAAGACAATTTATTATATGTACAAAAAATATAACGTGCTGTTCTACGCACATTACATTTCTACAATAGATGTTCTACTCGAAAGTAAACTAGAAACTGGCAACCCTCATTCCAGTACTATGTTTGTATATAGGTAGCTCAGCCATTGAAAAGTAAAGTTCTTAATTTTAAAGTTAAAGGAAAACAAAATCATTAATTTTTTATTGCATAAATATTTCTATTGAGATTTATGGAAACAAACGTTAATTGAAGATTGATTTAGGCACTCACGAACAATCCTGTTTGTACTAATTAAAAACAAAAAATTATCTTTAAGTCGAATTCTTGGGGGCCGCCATAGCTGAATGGTTAGCGTGGCTCGTAGAACCCGTGGTCATGGGTTCGATTCCCACCGACGCCCCTGACGACTTTTTATCCCGCTGCCCTTCCCCCCAATTGCATACATAAACTACATACATACTTGATTTCTTTTTATGTTAAAAATTAAAAACACAAAATTTTACTTAGATACCCAGGAACAATCCTGTTTGTACAAATTAAAAAAATAATGACAATTAATTAAGGTTTTTCGTCTCAACTAAAAACCTTAATTAATTGTCATGTATTAATTGGTCAAACGGACCACGAAAGTAGTGAATTAAAAAAATAATAATAATAACCTTACAACAAATGTGTGGTGATTAGTGACCGTTAATCGATGATTATTCGGAAATCGTGAGATGCGGTCTGTGTAACGTAGGTTTTAGAAAAACATTTTCCCTGTCGGGCCAACGTTTCGATCTTTATTGAGATTATCTTCAGGGCCTGGGATTTACAAACATTGTTTAAATTTAACAAATACATGTAGGATGTGGAAAAAAAGTGAGTGTATACAATGCAAAAAAATATTTTTTAATATTCAATCAAATAATTTCTACTCAATAAAAGTGTTTTCTGCATAATTGTGCCATTCTTGTGTGTCGTGTTGAGATTGTGAATTTATAACAAATTTCGCTTTTAATAAAAATAAATTAATATATAATCTTTTCTTTTTTTTATGTTAAACATTATAAGATACAGTACACAATGTACAATGAAATGCTGTAAAATAAAATAATTTTAACTTAAAACTAGCCAGTAACTTGGAAAAATATTAGGAAATGGGGCAAATAAAAATGGAATTGGCCTTATGTCTTCTATCTTATAAATTTTTCAATAAAAAGGGTGAAGTTGAGACAGGATTTGCTGTTTTTCTGCTTCTTATTAGCTCTAGATGATATCCTTTTCGCTCCAGTCCAGCTGAGACAATGAATACCGGTCCAGCACTGCACCTGTGTCACCCATTATTAATTTAGTTTCCAAGTTTTTATTTACGTATTTCTATATATTCAGTACAATTTTCTAACCAATAGGGACACGGGATCAAGTTGAACTAGTCGAATATCTCCATCCGCCAACTCGCAACTCGCCCTTCAACCGGGAGGTGAAAATCTAAAAACCGGTAACAGTACATACGAAAAAAAGCGAAAAAATCTTTCTTGTCTTTTTCGATGTAAATCGATGTGCTGAGTCGATTGGAAAAGGAATTCAGCTCGTAAAAAACGTAGTTTTCGAGAAAAACGCAAAACCTAAAAAAAATCGAAAATATATTTTTTCATTATTTATTATGCATTTTTGTCCTTCAGTTCCCTAAAATCATAAAATACTACTTTTGGAACATCTCTTTCTAAGGGATGTTACGCACGTGCCCAGAAATACAACTAGGGGCAAAAATGACCACTTTTAACATATGGAAGAGCTAATGTACTAATACCATAAAGGAAGGAAGACGATGTGCTTTAGATTATGTGGATTTTGTGGCTAATGCTCGTATGGAAAACTCGAAGGGAAATCAAGCTAAAATAATTTAATTTTGGAATATAAATTAATAGCCTAACGTTTGATCATTGCTAATAATTCACAGAATAAACGACGTTCCTTAATGACAATTGTTCACAAAAAATGATTTATTACTACTTGCAACTATTATGTAGGGGGACCGCGGTAGCCGAGTGGTTAGCATGAGAGACTCCCACCGTTGCCCCTGGCCCTTTTTTCCCAATAACCCCCCAAATTTGAACACACATACGAATTTGTCACATGGCTAATATGCATAGTTCATAACGCCAAAANTATATATATATCGTTATTTGATTAAAGACGGCTTTTGTAAAAACCCTGAAAATCACTGTTGGCGAAAACGAAAACTGTTACATAAATAAGAACGAAAGTGTGCTGGTTTATGTAATAAGTGAAGTGGGAGGACAATTTTTCTTTACAACACCAATGTTTTGTAGACGAAAGATTATTTGTAAACCATCCACGATGGTATCCACCGTTTTTCTTTTATAATAGATTTCTTACGAAACTATAAATCGTATTCCAGTCGTCATCTTTTTTGCAGGAAAAGTAGGTTGCGTTACCAGACTTGGCCAACGTCATTAATTTTCCTGCTTGTATTGGCATAAAAATACTTTTTTTTTAAATTGTAGGGTGGTAAGTGCAAACATCTGATAAAAATTTAGGATTTTCCTCTTAATTTTATGTCCATTGCTGGACTTGTTGCCAACTTATTTTATTCCATGAGGATAACTCCAATTTTCCAGCCTCTATGGTGTACGAGCAATTCGACAAGCGCCCTGTGCAACTCGGGGATCTATGTCAAGGATCAGTTGACTGACCTTTCGTTTCGAATTCAGTCATCAGAAATTAATCGAAATTACAGATTTGGTTTATTTTCAGAAAACGGTGATTTTTTCAGTTTTATTCCAGGATTCAACAAGTGGGGTGAACTATAATGCCTATCATTGTTTCCATCGCATGATTTCACCTTTAACGATCTTAGGTCTAATCATTACTCGTATCTGTTTTAAAAAAATTTCTTTATTTTTCCATTGGGATTTATTTTCGATGTTCGATGCAGGTTTTGAGCTGCACATTACAATAAACAAAAGATTAATCGATCTCGTCGTAAAGAATTTATTTTCTGGTTTTTATTTTGTACATATGTATATGAATTTCGGACCAAGCTGTAGCTCTTCTGTATATACACATAATGCAGGAAGTTGAAGGGGCGACAAACAGCCGTGGTCATTGCCCTCAGCTTGTTTGTAAATCTTTTTTTGGTTTTTACGAATTACTTTCTTTCCTATGTACCGATATTTACTATATATTTACTCAAATGCTACTAATACTTTTTTGCTTCTCTCTATACACAAACTGTACAAGTAATACAATCGAGGGTTGATTAGAGCACTCAATATTCTGCAATTGATATCACAACATCGCATTGAGTAAATTAAAAAAAAAAAACTATACTGAAGAAGGAACAGTGGACCCAGAGAATTCTCATATCGGGTTGCATTCCTACTCGCTGTCTATACGGAGTCATGTCACCCTTCATGTTGTTTATTTGTGCTGAAGAAATAATGAAATTGTATTTTTTTTCAGAGTGGAAAGGGAGTGGGCGGGGGATGTTGTTCAAGGGCTTAGCGTGACTATGGTCACTCAGACTGAGTGCAATAACAATAACAGCGCGGGAACCGAATCTGGAAGTGAACAGGGGCAGGTTGTCAATCCGAGCCAACTTTCAGAAGAAGAACTGGCGCTTCTAGCCAAGCTTGAGGAGGCTAATCGGTGAGTCAATATGACTTTTTTTGATAGAAAACACCAAACAAAAATTCAAATATATGTTAATATCATGATAATATAACTCAATGTGAACGTTAACATGTTTGTAAAGGATTATTACATAAGTTATTTATTGCTACTCCTCATAATAAATTTAACGCATGTTAACGTATATTGCTAGTTTTTACGTATCCACAGGAAAATGGTTTGTAATTTTTCTCCATTAACAAAATCAGGTAAACAATGTGGCTACGTTGTACTAGGCCCTTTGTATTTGCTTTTACAATCTGCAACGAGGATGACGAAAAATATCGCGATTAGCAATCTTTGTGACTCTGGAAAAAACCATAAAATGGGCAGCTGAAGTAATCTAAGCAGTGTAATGGGTATTGCGCGAATCGGCACGGTGTGTGTAAAGTATTGCAAGAATAAAAGATTAGACTCCATTACATTGCTTTCCATCGATAGAGCTTGCTGAATTACCCGAGATTTTACATACACTATTCGTATGCTACCACTCACGCATTATCAACCAGAATTGAGATTTTAATGCCATAGTAAAACTAAGAAAACATGTGCCTAGAATTCGGTCGGTGGTATCTGTCAAAGAAATCAAGAAGTCATACAGGATGTTCATTTTTGCACAAATTGGATCGAAATGCAAAGAAGTAACGTCAAGGCGATGATTCAATCGGAGATTTGGTAACTAAGAGTACATGGTAGTCTTATGCAGTAGGGCTCAATACTATTGACTATCTGTACTGTACTCATTACTTAACAACTCGACAGAATGCACGAAGCTTGACAAGAAACACTTCTATTTGATCAACCGGAAAAAAGAAGACTCTTGCAGATCGATAATTCGCGTTTGACGCTCGAAAACTTCACAGAAATGTAAGAAGTCATCGTCTTTCCTCTCCCTGCTTATAAACTTTCAGCACCCCCTCTTTTTAATCAGGAGTACAACCTGTTTAAATTATTCAGAAATCGTGAGATGCGGTCTGGTGTGATGTAGGTATCAGAAAAACATTTTCATTATCGTGCCAACGTTTCGATCTTTATTGAGAACATCTTCAGGGCTCAAAGTGCACGACACACAAGAATGGCACAATTACACAGAAGAAAAACACTTTGAGCCCTGAAGATGATCTCAATAAAGACCGAAACGTTGGCACGATAAAGAAAATGTTTTTCTGAAACCTACATCACACCAGACCGCATCTCACGATTTCTGAATAATTATCGATTAACGGTCACTAATCACCACACAACCTGTTTAAAGTTAGAGCAGACTCGTGCTCGTCGATGAGATCTCAACACTAAGCAAGACGTAAGGGCACTAAACGACTACATCACACTTGACAGCGCTGTGACCTGCTATGAAGTCCGTGGTGCTCATTAGCTCCACAACAACACCAGCCCTTCTCAAGGCCACCATAAAACTTCAAAGTACCCTATTATACGGTTGATTGATCAAAGTCAAACCGACATATTGACAAACGTATATCAGATGCTTTGTTTTCCAATTTGCATAATCGTTTGTATTTCTATTTCCTATTTTTCTCTCTTCCCCCTTTTAAATGGACCGAAAAAGGTTATTGATGTTGAGTGTGTGATCGTTGATAGTGCTTCAAGCCAGTTGTAAGAAAAGGAAATCTCGGACGGTTTGGACGTAAAGATGGATTTCGCGTTGTCAGGAATGACTAAGGTTTTTGCATATGTTGCAAGAGGAGCTAAGGATATGTCGTCATTTTGTAATATTTCGCGAATGTCAACACAAATTTTCTAGTTGGTAGCATTTGTGGCAGATGACATTTGAAAAGACATCATTCATATGCGTAACGCTATTTCTCCTCGCTTCTGCTGTCCAACTTTTTAAACACCGGATATGTAATTCTGTACTTCCGGAATGTGAGTAGCGCGGTAAGATCCACAGGGTTGCAGGGTCGGTCATAAATGTTGGAAACGTTTGTGCCAAACACGCTGCTAGTATTGCCCGGTAATCCAAAGCAATATCAGTCATCTGTGGTTTATGGGTACAACGGATATTAAGAAGAAAATGGACTTTGCAGAATGCGTCAACCTGAATCTATTTTTCACAAATTCCACAGATGGCAAATAAAACAAAAAGATAATTTCATTACAGTAACCATGATTTATGTCTACCAGATAGTGGTCGAAACAAACCGGCCGCTGTTGATTCTTTGATCACACATTTTTAGCGTGTTGATAATTCTTTTTACCAAAAAACATAACTTGCAGACACCGTTGAACACAGATGAGATCTCCAGAACGGATCTTTTACAGTGAACTTATGGACGTAAACATGGAAATACCTGGAAACTTCCCATTCTACCGGGTTAAAAAAAATAAAATTCCTCCAACCGAAGTCTAAGATCGAATGTCTTCATCAACAAATCAGGCATCCTTAGTTTCGATAGCAACGTCTCAAACCTAAGTATGCGATGCTTCGTGGTATCGAAGATGTCTTACATCCATCTAATACTTGTTACTCGTAACGAAAATGTCTACACCCGTAGAACTTGTCTCACATATCAAAAATCTACTGTGAGTATCCATTTGCATCAACTCCATTGGTCATTTGACCAGAAACATTCAGTTCAAAGGAAACTACCATCAGCCAACGGAAAAGTCGCCTCTCCAGCCGGTCTTTCTCAAAATTAATAGCACAGTTCTTCAACCACAAACGCTTGTCATTAGGCCTGACCTAGGACAAAGCGTAAAATATTTTCATTTAAGACTTCAGTACGCATTGAGATAATAAAAGGGAGCAACCGATTTTAGACAGAATGGATGAGCTGGATGTAAAGCGTTAATTAGCGAGCTTATGATACCTCCTTAATCAACCCAATGTCTGGATTATTACTCCGGATATGAACTTTGTTATGACATTATTAAATCAGTTTTAACTTTATATCTGACGCTGCTATCTAAAGGTGCTTACTCACATAAATGAAGCATCTTCTTTATCTTTCGTAATCCGTTTTCCACGTTCATAAATCATATTGTTTCACGATTCTGACTACAGAATGAGGCTATTGGCTACTACTATGCTTATTATGTAGGGTACATTAACAATAATACAAACATGCTATTAACATGTATGTAATTTTACGAACTTTAATACCAAGTGGAAGTGTTTTATTTTTACGACTACAAATCGCAGGTGCTGAATATAATTTTCTGTAAATCGCAGGAGGCTGTCAAAGGTTGAATATAGTGTTCCATTAAAACAATAGACAATAATGAAACAATAATTTGTTCTTGGCTTTCACATTTCGATACCTTTTTTGCATTAAATATAAACTGTATTATTCCTTCTTCTTTTTTTGCTCAAAAACATCATTACTTATATTTTTCTTAGTCCCCATTTCTATATAACAGTGGTATACAATGGTTAACAGATGAAAATTATATGTTGTAATATGTGTGGAAATAAGAGATGGTTGTGTGCACGTACATAATCATTAATTTAACTCAGATTTAAATTGAAATTTTGTAACTAAGCCTGTATCTGTCCTAGATTTTTAAAATATGCGACGCCCACGGAAGGTACCCTAATTTTGTATTTGTTTATCAAAGAAAAAAAAATAGGCTCCTTTACAATGTATACGATATGTAGGCACAGACTTTTGAACTATAATTATTACATTTACTGGAATTCTAATTTTTGAAAGTCGGTTTAAAATCGAAAAATGTTTATTTGTAAACTGTTTTCTCTTGCAAACCATGTCACTTATTTAAATCTGTCCACATTGCACAGTTTCCGCCTTTTTGTGTTGCATTAGACATTGTGTTTAGCCTCTAGGGCTCGCATTTCTGTGTGAGGCCTTTTGCTGAGAGGATGGTTCCAACTCCTATGCAATCCAATCGAAATTGGTCGGATTAGCCTCAGTGTATTATGCCAAGGATTAAAAGTCGTTTGGTAAAAAGTTTCAAAATATTGCGCAAAGAGCCAAGGTAATTTTTTGACCGTTTTTCACACGATTTCTATACTTCTCTCACCATTGTTTTAAAGAAATTAGTGCGAATTTTACTGTGGGGGATGGGTCTTTTTCATTATTTTATTCGAAGATGCCGATAAAAATTACAAACTACTAGTTATAGTTACTAGATAAAATTACATTTTTTTCTTTTACATGCCTAAAAGTTAATCATATAAACAGACAATGTATTTTATTCATGAACCTATAATGGAAAACTAAAACACACACACATACAGAGAGAGAGAGAGAGAGAGAGAGAGAGAGAGAGAGAGAGAGAGAGAGAGAGAGAGAGAATGGAATTTAAAAAATTAAAATTAACCTTGTAGGTACATCATTCTGAATAGCGTGGTGATTAGTGACCGTTAATCGATAATTATTCAGAAATCGTGAGATGCGGTCTGGTGTGATGTAGGTTTCAGAAAAACATTTTCTTTATCGTGCCAATGTTTCGATCTTTCGAGAGTGCCCTCTCAACACGACACGTAAAAATGGCACAGTTACACAGAAGACAAACACTTTGAGCCCTGAAGATGATCTCAATAAAGATCGGAACGTTGGGACGATAAAGAAAATGTTTCTCTGAACCTACATCACACCAGACCACATCTCACGACTTCTGAATAATTCTGAATAGCATTGTAAACTAGTGCAATTTTAATATCTCCAAATGGTTTTTTACCAATATTGAGGTATGGTTTTACTTTTCTTTCTTCTGTAATTTTTGAGATTGTCAAGGTTTTCGCTAGCAAGTTGAGAATTGGTACTATTGTTTGTCTAACTCCCAGTTCATGAAAATCATATCGCTTCACTGGAGGCAGTTTTTTTTCTAAAAGTTGCGACTTTTGGAGGATCGACTTATGAAGCATGAATGCATAATCATAATTTTCAGAAATGTCTTTTGTGAAATATTGAGAACCCGTTTGTTTTTTAGAGGCTGCTCACCAAGGCTGGCAGTAGAATTGGTATTAAAATTGACCGTAATTATGTTCCATGATTTAAAGATTTCTGATTTTAACTTAGATTTTTGGTTTATTATCGGCTGCAAAATTAAATAAAAGCTTCATTGAGCTTTTCGTTCATATGTGTGTTTGTCGCATGTTACTTCACACCTCAGGGCTCTATATGCGTGTTCTGCAACCAATCTGGGCATGGGTGTTTCGTAATATTTTCTCAACCTTTTGTGGGTCTACCCATTTTTCGCCACTTTTCGAAGTACGTCTGTAGGTTCTAATATGTATTTTCATCCATATGTTCCGTTCTCGATATGATCAAGCGTGTAGAGTTAATAGCAATGACCTATGCGGTTTATCTGCTTTACGTTTTTAAGCATAACTTATTACTTTTAGAGAGGCTACTTGTAGTTATAAATACTGATAATTGGGACGCTTGATTGTTATACTTTTATAAGTTATAGCTTACAAGTTTATAAAGAAGAAAGCCTTTAGGCTTCACATTATCATAAAGACTTGCTTTAAGTCTAAGGCACTTCAACATTGTGTAATTGTGGAATTGTAATTGTGATAAAAATATGTGTCAAGAGTAAGTACCTAATGCAACATAAAGTCTATTCATTTCGTAGAATTTATCATAGAACATAGGACATAAATGTGAAGTTTATTTTCTATTGCAGTATTATTTTGAAGCACTGTTAAATATACAACTGAGTAAATGTAGACAAAAAGTTAACTGCAGTTGGTATTAGAAGAGATGTTTGAGATAAAAGTTTTTCTTAACACAACAAATTCTATTTCTTGCCATTTTAGTTTTGTATAAAAATATTTTAACAGGAAAGACCCACAGGCTCGTTAGATATTTAGATTTCTATAACTTATACAAAGTCTTTACTTGTTTCAATTGCAATATCAAGACAGTTAAATTTACAAAATTTAAACGAAAGACAAATATTCCTGTCAAATATTATTTACTATTTTTACTAAAAAAAAGTCTTAAGTTATTCTTTCTAACATTAGGCTAAATCGACAGTATGTGGTTTATAATAGAATCACAGTTATCAATTATAGTGATTAATAATATACTATTAAGTAGCAATTAATTGATTGAAAATTGTTACGTATTGTCGAAGGATAATACCCGATATAAAAAACAAAACAAAGGAGTTTGTTTGGTTTGGCACTGTGTCTGGTGCTAGCTTCGAGAAGAATCTCACCTTCAAGAGAAGCAAGCGAACGCAGCACATATTTGTATTATAACGATAGTATTAGTTTAATGTAACGGTAATTTAACTAATGCAATGTAATTTTTTGTTCTATGTAACCGGAGTTGAGATTTTCTTGTTTATATCGGATAACAGTATCGGAATGAAGGTTAAAATAATTAACATTAAAAAACGAAGAATTGTGTAGTCCGTGTGGAAGCCGAAGACTATTCGGTCTTCTTTTTTATGCGGCCTTCCAATATTATCCCACACGTGCTTGATAGGGTTTAAATCTGGCGATTTGGGTGGTGTCCGGAGCTGCCTAGGCTCATGTATGATAAGCATTCATGAGTTTTCCGAGACATGTGTCTTGCTGGAAACGGAAAGTCCTTCATGTTGGGGTTGTTGTCTTTCTGGAAAAGGAAATTCCTTTTTTATACCCACTCTAATATTGCGTTCCTTTAAATTCTGTGATTATCAAAGTAGACGTATTGGTTCATGATCACATCGATAATGTGTAAATTGCCAACTCTTCTATAACCCATGCAGCCCCAAGCAAGCACTCCATATTTAGCTGTCGGTAGTTTTTTCTTTAATTTCAAATGTTCCCCTGGCTTACGCCACACTTTCATTCTTCTATCGGATGGAATAACAGTTTCCCAAAATACATCAGGCTTACTTAAATGCTCTTTAAAGAACTGGAGGCGCTTTTCCCAATTCTTCGCACTTATGCCCTGTGTTATCTGGGATTGCGTCAGTGCATGCCTTGTTTTTTAATAGTATTTTGTACCGGTTTAGGGCGTAAGTGAAATATTTACAATACTGATACAGAATATCTGCAATTTCGGGACCGCTTGTTGAAAGGTTGTTTGTCACTTCTTTGAGGACCTCATCGAGCCCCGTATACCGGGAGATGTTGTAATGAATTGTCGAGGGTCACTTATTAAGTACATTTCCTATTTCACAAAATGATTTTCCTTCATTATGCAATGTAACTATTACTTCCCGAGTGGACTGCGGTACGTCCATATTGAAGGTTAATATCGTAATAAGTAAAACATGATTGTTATTAAGATAATATTGCACAAGTATTTTTTGCCTCTCGATTAGCCTATTCAACGTTATTAGAAAGATTTTGTATAACGTTTCCGCTATTTCAAGGCCGACATATTTAACGTCTTTTGGATAACGTTGACGCTATTTGAAAAATTTTTGCGTAACGGATTTTCCTTGCCGAGTTTGTAGCAATTCAAATTATAGTCGTATCTTGCAAGCTTTTAAACAAAGGCAGCGTTAACAAATGTAATGGATGTTTTCTTGATTGCTGACGAAAATTTGGCAAATGCTGATGATCCGATAGTTGTAAAAGCTCTAACGTACAAAATTAATTACAGGGTGATGCGGGGTAAGTTCAGTTTAAGTGAAATTGATAAGGAAAACTGTCAAAAACTTTAAAGAAAATAGCTTTACTTTTAGAAATATTAGGAAAACTGCATTTCATTGCAGTTAGTTAACCATATGCGTACTCATTATAACCATATTCTATACCTTTTAAATTGTATTTAGTCGGTTTAACCAAAGGGTCTGTTGCACAATTGCTGGTCATTTATTGACGAAAAGTTGGCATATATAAAATGGGAACCTTATGGACCAACAAACAGCTGAGGTTCTCGCCGGCCCTCTGTGTGTTTTCCTTCTTTTTCTCTCCTTTCGCGCGTATTTCTAAAAATGTTGGTATATTTCTTGCTAACCGTCGTTCCTGCTTGAATGGAAATAAAACTGCTAAATATTTTACAGTTGTTTACACCAAATATACACACATTTTTAGGATTCATGAAAACTGTACGAAATGAAGAAAGAATGTTAACTACAAAATATTTTTTTTTTAAATTATATTTATACATTATTGGAGAACATATCCAATAAAACACAACTTTGATGACTTTACATTCACCCTTTAACAAGCTCGGCATTATGAAGCAACGTAGGACGCTATTTCAGATAGGTTCCGTTAAATCTGCGTTCTGGCTACGTTATGCAAAATCTCCTTATTATGAAAACAAATACTCCTTACATTGAATATTTTATTAATTATGTTTTAATCCAAAAGCCTTAAAATCATGGTCTTGACTACAACTCTAAACCACGAATCTATTATTGAATAAACGGTTGTTGGATCGCATAAGAAGATACAGTTAAAAGCCTTTAAATAATATATTAAGATTTAAGAAATTATATTTATAAAAACAATGACATACAATAAGAAATTTGGAGCTCACCTCTTGCGGTTTTTTATGATGAATATGATATCGTAAGGCTGATAGAAAGACATAAGATGAACTTCTTTATTTTTTATCGCAAAGCAAAACAATGCTAAAAATGAAGTTTACTTTTTTGTTTGTTTCAAAAGTTATTTTTTGCCACTTTTTAAATAATTTTAATTTGCATCAACATGAGTGTGAAAAGAGTAACTAACAACTCCACATCCGCGGTGGAAGTTTCACGTGTTTTGTTGATACTTCATTTTTCCTACCCCTGGTGTTTTACTTTTTCTGGTCAAATTCGGCTTGAAGAATTTTATAGGAACCACCCTTACACTTTTTTGTATTAATTATTTATTATCTGCGTTTGAACTCTGGTTTCAATAAATATTACTACTTTTACGGAGTTTTTCTAATTAATTAATATGAACCCCATATATTCATTGAGTCCTAACAGTATTAATTATTATGGGCGAACGGTGGCATAATTCTCTCTCAATAACCGTTATGCTCTCATTACATATTGAAACCCTTGTTGAGGTAATTGGATTTTAGATTACTTCCGAGAGCAATAAAGAAATGTTGGCCTATGCTCAGTTTTCTTCTTCTAGTGTAATATGGAATAGTAGTCATAAATATTTCCTTATTGTTTTCTTCTATGTTGTTTCAGGCTGATTGAAGCCGACTCCAAGAGTCTCAATTCCATCTCGAACAACAGCGGCCATTCACGCAAGAGCTCAGACACCTCGCAGATCTCTCTCAATTCAGGTAACTTTCAATTAATGGTAAAACCAAAGAATAATCCGTGTTAATATTGTAAACAAAATATTATATCTTGACGCGTATATGGGAACAATGAAACATGTCGGTCAGTACCACCTATCTTGGTTACGACTCCTAACTCGTTGGTGTTAACCAAAACCTAACAGCATGCAAGAGAAGCAATATGGCGTAACAATTTTTGATGATCATTAATATTTTTGCTTAATTACATAAGAAATATAATTAACTCGCTAATTGTATAATACGTTTTAATCCATATTAACAAAGAAAGCAAAAAATGTATTTATAAACTTTTAGAAGCTACTCTAGAATAATATGAAACCGTTTCTTGTTTGATTTAGTATTCCCTTTTCTTCAAAATTTAACTACTGATTTATTAACTACATTTTTTTGAAAGGTTGGGAGGTTGATTAGGAATTATAAAAATCCTTTCCTCTACTGCGACCTAAATAGATCTATTGTGGAACCCCTCTATAAATTGTAGTTATACCTTGGAAAGTGCACTTTTCATATAAGTCTAAGCATTTTCCTCGGTGTCTTTTCGCGTCCCTTTTGTGAAAATTTTGTTACCCATGGGGCTGTACCGTAACTGGGCTAATTCTTCACTTTCACAAAGGATATGTGCCGATGCCTTGGTCCTCCTGACAGAGTCGACATGTTTCGGTCTCTGCCCAACTTTAGACGATAGGAGGGCAGTGGCTGGTATAATTAATTCACCTCAAATCCTGCCTGCTGAGAGAGAGAGAAGTTCCTTCATCTTCCGTTTTGACAGATTTGTAAATTTTTTAGTTTGCCTTACACTCGGTACTTTTGTCCAGTGTTTGACGTTTTCTTTCTCAAACCATTTTTCCGGTTCCAACTTAAGCACACATTCCGATACACCACCCAATGTTGGTTCTGGTCTCATGAGTGAAAGGGTTGCCCCTTTTTTGGTTAGTTAGTCAGCCTGTTCTTCCTTCTTTCCATTAATTTCCGGGAATCCACTTTAAAGTAATGTTGTTTTGTTTTCCCAGAGTCTTTAAGCAGTTTTGGCACCACAGACAAGTTTAAGCATTTAGTGCCTTGGCTGCCTGACCACCTGAGAGTATGTAAATCTATGCACCTTTCATATTTTTCTACACTACTCCCAGTTTCATCTTTGATCCATTTATGTACCATATTAGGGTTCCTTGTTGAAATTTAGGGCCACTTTTCTCGCAAAGGTCGCCCATTTGGAAGGGTCTGTCGACACTCAAAAGCCACCTTTTGTACATAAATTTGTGAGGATGTAAGGTCGAAATTGACTACCTACTACATGACAACTTTTATAATTACGTAGTTTCATTGGAACATGAAGGTGTATAAGATTGTACAGTTCTTTTAAGTTCATCCTTGTTTTCTTGTTTCTCTTTTATATCTGCTCACTATATCGGTTGCTTCTAATATTTAAATTACTTTCCAACATATTCTGTCTACTGTAGCGTTTGTTAACAAGGACACTGCAACACGATATCACGATTCTATGAAAAATCAATCATTTCATTCAAATTAATTCCGCCGTTTTGTCAATTGTTTACTTAGCGACGGTCAAACCGTTCCATACTACAAATTGGTCAATTGACGTGAATCAACGCGAGAGAAACGTTATCGATTTCAATGTTTTATGACACCATTTTTTATAATTAAATATGAATAATGTATAATTCACTAAGTTGTTTTTAATTTCTTTGACCTTAAAATGGAAGCGGTTCATATTTTCCACGGGTTTCTGTTGATAATTAAATTGATTTTTAACCCAAGAAAGTAATGGTCTTCCTAGAACAAATCTATTTAAAACATCGATTTCCCATTTGTAATGAATATGGTATTGGCTTATTGACTAAGGGTCTAGGCGTGTGTACTTTTTTGTTGGTCTCATAACAAAAATAAAGGTTGTAGGATAGCAATATGTTTATAGATCTATTGTAGAGAAGAGTGAATGAGAGAGAGACAAAAAGATGGGCAGACATAGAAAAAGACAAGCTAAGATAGAGAAAAAGATTAAATAGAAACTAAAATAAACTTTAGTACAGTCTAATAACTTATACCTTGCTTTATTGACAGTTAACCTTATGCTAAATTACTTCTGCACCCTCGAAAACAAAAGTTTTATGTCCGAAAACGAGGGACTCGATCGTAAAACACACAACCAGTGCATATTTTAAAAATAAATCATTTACTTCGAAACCTTATCAAATGAAATAACTTGTTTTGAAAAAATCTGAATAAGCATTCATTTTTAAGATGTTTGTGACATGCCATTCTTCCGCCATAACGAATGCTGCAATGTACAGTTTAATTTATACATGTCAGAGTAAATTCATGTCAGTCAATTCAAGTGAGGTTTCGAGAGATCTGTGGAAGTTAATAAATGTACTTATCAGAATTCTAAAGGTGCATACCACGATTCTGCGGGTTCGTCACTCGATTAATGATTGTACAATTGGTAGTAAAGATGCATTTGTAGAAAAATGTATAAAAATTCATGTGTGAGTTACCTAGAACTACAAATAGGTGCACTGATTGGACTGTGACATTGAGTTAATATGCGTTAATAATATGTTTATAATATAAATATGCGTTATATTAATATAATGTTTGTATTTCTAAGCATTGTAAATATAAGTAATTAATTATACATGTAACTTCGCGTCAAAAGAAAACGCTGACTTTTAAAGGAAAGCCGGATCGCAATTAATAAGGAACATTGACTAAAGAAAATCGCATTAAGGCCAAAACCATTATTCGTAGTGAATGTCAAAAGGAAAGGTACAAATTTTCCTTAGTAAATTTAGAAAATTGGAGTCCTTAAATTACATCGGCCTCTGTTAATGGTATATGAACTGAATTGAAATTACTTAAACTCAATCCCCCCTCGGTTTCAAGTGTTTATTTTGTATTTGAAAATTGTGCTGGGTGTAAAATAACCCTAGAAATGGGTTGTCTAAGCGAGGTTGTGAAGGTGACAAAATCCCCTGAGATTAAAAGTCTGATTATTCGGTTTTGACTAGCTCATTCAATTATATACCGTCCATATCTGGGCCAAATTGAAAATTGGAAACGAAGACTTCAGCAATACTTACGGAAATTGGTAATTGGATCCGGAATTTCGTATTTTGATTGAAAATCCCCTAGAAATGCAGTACATGATCGATGCAAAAGCGTTTTGTTTAGGTAATTTTGAACTGACAGAAAGCGAAATTGCAGGCTGCACGGAATCGGGCGCATTAGTATTCTCGATTAACAGAATATTCAAACAAAATAGTCCAAGAATCCGGTAAAACACTTTGAAGATAATCTGAACGTTAAAACAGTTTTAGTCGTTAAGCCCAAGGTCTATCGAGACCCTCACCAGCCCGGCTACAGTTAATTCAATTTAAGATCTTACTTTCCGAGATTAGAAAAAAAAATTGTGATAAACTGGCAATTGAAGCAATTTGTTATTTGTATAATTTATGTATAATTTAACTGAAGCCAACATAATATATATTATGGTATTTATCTCTATTTAAAGCAAGGCTAGGTTTATAAATAGCATACATTATGGGCCCCAATAACCATCCCTAACCATCCATGTAAACATAACAGCATTCCAAATGGTTATAATTTGAATAAGCATATTCAATCCACTCAGGGAGTTGTAGCCCACTTAATGTGGAATTACTACGACGACGAGTGCGTCAGCTGTCATCTTGAGAATCAAAAAGTCTGATAAGGCCGAAAGGCTAGGTGCGGACGTTAAAGATCCTCATTGCCCTTTCAAGGACGACAGAGTATACGGGAAAGCAAAGCACCATATTCATCTGAGCTGCTGGTGGTGGGCTGTTGCTGCCAAGGTCGTCTCAAAGAGGCATACGATGTGAAGCCAACTTCCCACAAACCATTACGAATCGTTGGCCTTGCCAAAACATCTTGTACACTATGGAAAGGGTTCCGTCTTGCAGTAATGACAATATTTCTGTCCTCCCGTCTCTTTCAGACGGAGCGGCTAGTTGATTCAACTAGTTGAACGGACGGGTGTCAAGGAGTGTAGCCCAGGTAGCAAATGATGGGAACCGCCCCAATCCCTTGACACGCAGTCAGCTCGTCCGGGCGGGTGATCAGCAGGCACAAGTGCCGCTCACGTTCTCATCCTGACTCATTGACTCAACACAACAGACACTGTTCGGCATTCATACCAGTCGCCTAGTTGAGTCAACTGAGTTCGCCATGGAAAGCGTTACAATTGCAAGTTTCAATGTGGAACAGTTCATTAAAGATATTCGTATTAGTCCCGTGATATGGGACATGAGGTGTGAGGAGTATAGTGATAAAACTTAAAAAAAACGAAGCTTGGAGGAAAGTAGCACAACAGTATTTGAGAGAAAGCGCCCGTTTCCCAATTTTATAACAACGGATAAACCGGCACTTTTCTTTAATGGGTTTCCTCCTTTTTTGCTTCTCATTTTGCAGAAAAGCAAGCACAAGAAGTGCTCCTGCTTCCTCGGTGCTAACATCGTACTGACCTCCCGTTGGGAAGAGAGATTGATCCCACATGTTGCCTTGTGTGAAACCATCAAATAAAGTGTCTTCACCAGTAGTCAACCGGGCAACTTAGTTGAATCAACCAAACCGCCTCGTCTGAAGGAGGCCCGTCGTAATGCGCTGAGATCCACTACCAGCCCTCCTATGGTACCTCCAGTCTCTCGGAAATCTAACGCCCCGGAAACCACGCTCTGAGAAATGTCAACTGCCTCTGCGATATCCACTTGCCTGTGACCTCGATGACTCACTCTCACAATAATATTGCGAATGTCTGATTCAAGGTGATATCTTTCCATGGTTAAAGATAATACAACTGGATTAAAATAGAGAAAAGACGAGAAAAGGTGTTTGTTTACAAAATTAGTAATCTTCATGTTTACTATTCTTAAGTAAATCCTTTGTTAAAAATCAGGACTAACAATTTTTTGTTTTTTGTTCGTATTTTCTAGTTTGTTTTATCCAACTAACAAAAATAAATCGGTTAATTTAATTAAAATTAATATAATAAGAATATATTACAAATATCCCTATTCAGTTTTGAGCAATTTACAATAGATTATTACGAAAGCAAAAGTTCAAATTAATTTGTAATATTAACGTTGGTTGTTAATTCGTATTCAACGGTTTTTTTTTAAGTAGAATTATTGAAAGAAGAAGAAGAGACATTTTACTTTAGTATCGCGTCCTCGAAGTCCTTGCAAGTGCATATATGGAGTTCCTGAGAGACAACCTTAAAACGCCATCTGTCGCTTATTAACTAAAAATCTGAAGATAAATTACGGATTTTGGCACACCTACCAGTCGATAATCGAAACCAATGCTACAAAGTTATAAAGTTGGTGGGAGTACAAACTTGTACAAAATCAACCAGCATTAAAACTTGTACAGTCAGCAGTTCTTATCGGACGATAGCTATGAGTGGTTTTTCACCTTAATTAGCACGAATTGCGACTCATTTACCTATGGCCAGGCTGAAAAACACAATCTCTTACACAATCCAAGCGGAATTCAAGAAAAATGACTTCCCCGTCATCGTATGGAAGGAAGTGGACAGACAGAATACCAAAGAATTATTTCCAGGTAAACTCCATAGATCAAGAAACTCAAAAGTTGAATCATGGTGAATTTTTTTATCTTTTAAAATATAGTACCACTCAGTGTTTTTCTCTCTAAACTTTTTCAACGGTTTACCCTTAAAACCAAATTGCCAAAGCTATCAAGCTATTCTCTTCTACATTCATATCTCATGCATTTGTGTAAATAAAATAACTATATTTGTTCGACCATAATTTCATACATTACAGCAATCACAAAAGTGGTAAGAAATGTTTGTTATATCTACGTACATATAATATTAAGAGCATTGATCAAGCAACAATATGTTGATCAGGCACTGGGTCCGTCTTTACTCGCGGGTTTTGACGTACTAGTAGCGCTCATATGCGTTTCGGCTTTGTGTCATCTTCAGTGGGGAACTGAATTGAAATGAACAAGGACAACAGCCAATAGGGTAGTCTGAGGCCGCAACGGTGTTGACACGGCGACTCATCACTGAAAGGGAAAGGTCTCGGGTTCGAATCTGGCGACCCTGAATTCGAACCCAACATACTTACAAATGGACTTTTTTTCAAAAACACCTGTAACCCGGTATGACGGCTGTTGCGAACCTGTAAAGATAAAACATTCATATGTAAATACATCATTATGCATAGAAGATACAATATATATATACACATATAGAAAGAAAAAATAATATCAAAATAAATATTTAAAAAAAGGATACATCTACAAAATAAATATCTCTTGACAAAATGTAAAAGGAAAGGGATAAAAGTATGAAAAGGAAGAAATAAGAAATGAGGGTAATGACTTGAGTTGTAAGTGCATGGCTTTCTTTCTATAACTACACCCCAAAGAGCTCCAAATGAATTTGGAAAACTGACATTTTTTTTGTAGAAATGTTTGTGGAGCCATTAAAAAAATAAATAAAATATAACTTATTATTTACCAATTAACAACTCATCTTTTTTTACATTCTTTTCTAAAATTACTTGGTTTTTTCACAGTTAGAAGTCACCCATAATTCATGATAATAGTAATAATCGTCAATATTGGCAATGGTCAGATAGTTGATATGTAGCAGTATGCTTGGAGAGCTGACTCATATAATTATTTTTTGACCCAAATGACTGAAAAAGTAAATCCATCGCCTGATGAATGATCATACTATTACCAAAGGTTTTCCAAACTTCCAGATAGCAAAGAGTATTTTCTCAATACCAAATTATAGTCTCTTCTCTCCATGAGCAAAGTATGCTTTTTTTTTTTTTTTTTTTTTTTTTTTTTTTTTTTTTTTTAATGTTCACTGTATTTTTTTGGACTTTGTAGAAAAGCTCTCGGTTATCACAAGAGAGTCCATGACCTGTAGCCGATAAAAAGCATATTTAAAAGCCCAATAGTTTACTCTGTGGTGATAAACTCTTTTATATAAAATAAACTTTATAATACTTATTTAGTATTTCTTGGAAAAGGTTCACTTCAAAAAATTCTATTCGTTGGAGTTGTCATCATGACAAATTTCTGAATATTTTATCTTTGTTCTAGTCTAAATAAAGTGAAAAGTATAATATCTTTGAGAAATATGGTGTTATTTTATTAGGTGCTGTGTATTGCTACACACCATTAAAATAATTAGATTTTTAAGTATCAACCAAGTGGTGAAAGTTTGCTCTTTATGTTTTGTAAACTATTTTGTAAAATTGTTTCTAAATGTGTTCCTATAAAACCAGTTAATACTTCTTACTAAACAAGCAATAAACCTTATTAGTCAGACGTGATACACAATTACTGATATTAGAGTTTATTGTCTGTCATTTATTTTTCTTGGTTTTTTCAATAGTGGCAGAAAGATTAATCAGCAGAACAGCAAAAACAGAATTAGATAATGATAAAAAAAAGCATATCATTCGTTACTAAAAAAAAATTCTTAATTCCCCCCCCCCCAAATGTATTGCAACAAAACAACGGGTACCTTGGTATGGAGGGTGTGCATAATTCAAATAATTTATTTTCTGATTCCATTCATAAATTTCAAATTAGGTTAAAATTTCCTTCGTTTTAAGGTACAAGTTGCACTCAGGAGCGAGAAAGATCTGAAGATGGTGAAGAAGACTCTTGGATTTTGTGGGCTCAAATTGCAAACGACTGGGAAGCACACAAAAAGAAAAATTTGGCTCAAATCAAGGTATGAATTCAGTTAACTTATGAACTAGCTGTTGGAACACGAGATAATTTATTTGATACCAAAGAATCTAATTTTTTTATTACTATTTTATATTTGTTGCAGCAATTGGTTCGAAAAGGAATTCCACACCACTTCAGAGGAATTGTCTGGCAGCTGCTGTGTGATGCACACAACTCTCCAGAAAAGGAACAGTACGCCGAATATATTAAGGGTACATCAGCATGTGAAAAGGTGTGCACAATTCTATTAGTTTTTTCTCTCTTATTAAAAATTGACTTGTTGTGTTTTAATTTGTATTTGTTTAGTTGTCATTCATTCAAAGTGCTTAAATAAATAAAAAATTGTTAATATGTTTTGTTATAAACTTTAACTATTTGGTTGGCAGGAATGTTAATTATTTGTTTTATCATTTCATTTTTATAAGGTAATTCGAAGAGATATAGCCCGGACCTACCCTGAACATGATATGTTCAAAGAAAAAGATGGAGTAGGCCAAGAATCGCTTTTCAACGTCATGAAGGCCTATTCTCTGCATGATCGAGAAGTTGGCTATTGTCAAGGTTCTGGATTCATTGTTGGACTTCTTCTCATGCTGGTAACTGCCGCTTTCTTCATCTCCGGTGAAGGGAACTCTAACATAAAGAGAGCGATATCTTTTAAAATTAAATTAATATATAAACATATTTATGTTTGAAAAGTTTTAAAAGTCTGCTCTTTCTGTCGGAGAAATGTAGTTTGGCACTTTATGTATTATTCATGATTGGTATTTTTCATTATTTTACCAGGGAACTATGGTGACGGGGTAATTCAGTTTAGCAGAGCTTTGGTTTCTCGTGGTTTTAAAGCTTGTAATGAATGAACATTGTAAACAATAATAATACAAAAGACAATATTGTATTTATTATATCTAAAAGTTGAATCATCATTTTGTTTTTTGTAGAAAAGTCCCAGATTATATTTCTCAGACTTATTTATACTAACAGATTATGGATTGCTTAAGAGTATATTTTATTTATGAATTTTCTGAGTTTCTTTACCCTAAGTACTTAGATAAGAATATTAAATCCATTTTTTGAAATGAGTGACTTTTTTCTCTATTCTTTCATATGTTCTTAAGCATTCCACTTTCTAAAGCTGGAGAACAGACAACTACTAGGAATTGACTTGCTTTGTTTATATGATTTTAAAGCAGATGCCAGAAGAAGAGGCATTCGCTGTGTTTGTCAAACTCATGAAGGACTACAGAATGAGGGATATGTTTAAACCGACAATGGCAGAACTTGGTTTATGCATGTACCAGTTGGAGAACTTAGTTCAGGTATTCATACTGGCAACTAATCGGTGTAAAATAAAATAACTAGGTTAATACAGTTGTTTTATAAATAGGAACTGATACCAGAGCTTCACAATCATTTTAATTCTCAAGGATTTCATACATCTATGTATGCTAGCTCGTGGTTTCTCACACTATTCACCACTGCCTTGGCAATTCCTACAGCTTGTCGTATAATCGATGTGTTTCTATCTGAAGGAATGGAAACCTTATTCAAAGTTTGTGGCTGTTTATTTTTATTTAGAAGCGTGACTAAGATGTGTATAATTTAATTACTTTTATTAAAAATTATCTTGCAGGTAGCGCTTGCGTTATTGACAATGGGTAAAGACGATTTGCTCTCTTTAGATATGGAAGGAATGTTGAAGGTAAGGGAAACAATAAATGAACTTTCTTAAATAAAACTTATCTAATTTAAATATTAACAAGAAAGGTGTACTAATATTTTTGTTCTAGTTCTTTCAGAAAGAATTACCCATAAGAGCAGATGCAGATCCAGAAGCTTTAATGAATTTAGCTTATAATGTAAAGTTTAATACCAAGAAAATGCAAAAGTTGAAAAAAGAATATACAGTCATGAAAACCAAAGAACAAGAAGATATGGTCGAATTAAGGGTAAGTTTTTTTAGCATGTTTTATTTAATTTTATTTATATTCTTCAAAATCTTAATTTTTTTATTTAAATCATGATACAGAGATTAAGGCAGGAAAATAGATTGCTGCGTCAGAGGGTAGAACTTTTAGAGGCTGAGTCATCTGAACTTGCTCACAGGCTGGTCCGAGGACAAGTGTCAAGGGCTGAAGAGGAAGAGACTATTTTTACTGTACAACGAGAACTCCAGGCGTTGCGGATGACTCATCTGCAGACAACTCACCAACTGGAAATAGCTCAGGAGGAAATCAAAGATCTTTTAATGGTTATTGAACAAAACGTAAGTAATAAAAAAGAAAAAGCTCTCAGTTTATATTGATTATGAACCAAATTGCCCAATTTATAATTTTTATGGTTGAAATTTTGAAATTTTTCATGAAGCATAATTCATGCCAGAGTTCGTTAGATGAAATAACAGCTAAGAAAGAACAGTTGTCTCAAAAAGAGGAAATGGTCTCCTGCCTTCAAGAGGAACTTTTTAAAGTTCGACTCAGGGAGGCCGAAAAAGATGCTGTTATAAGAGATCTCCATTCTAAAATTCAGGATTTAGAGCAAGTTCGTATATTATTCATAATTTTTTTTTCTATTATTCATAAATGAATATTTTGAATTTATTATGTGCCTTCACTTCTAGGATAAGAAAACTTTGAGAGAAAGTACAGTGGACAACTCAGTTGCTCACCTCCAGGAGGAGCTTATCGCTGTTAAACTTAGGGAAGCGGAGGCAAATTTAAGCTTAAAAGATTTACGTCAACGTGTGACGGAGTTAAGTTCTCAGTGGCAGAGACATCTACAAGTAAGTATTATTTTAGTTTTTAATCACCATTCCTTTAAATACAAAGAATTTTTACACTGTATGTCTGTAGGAGCACAGGGCAGAACCACCGACAGCACCTGATTCTACACCAAAGAAACTAGGCCTATTTTGGGAATCCCGGAGTGGTGATGTTCAAAGGCTTGAAGAAGAACTTATGAGTACAAGACTAAAAGAAATGGAAGCTGTCATGGAGTTGAAAGAAGTGAGACTAAAGGTAATCATCTCATTAATTTTACATAACTCCATTCAACTCGATCTAATTTTTGTTTTGAATAACAAAGGTCATGGAGCTTGAAACACAAATACAAGTCAGTAGCAATCAACTTAAACGCCAAGATGAAGATAATAAAAGACTTGCTGAAGCTTTAGAAACAACAGAGACTAAGCTTAAAGAGCAGACTTCTAAATGTAGAGACCACATCCATAAATACACTGATCTTGAATCAAAGGTATGGGTTCTTTCCTTGTTATTTAAATTACATTTACAAAAATCCTACTTTTTAGATGAAAGATGAATTGATGATGGCTAGAATACGAGATGCCGAATGTTCTCAACTTGTTGCCGAATTAACACAAAAAATTTCCCGATTGGAATTAAAAGTATGTTGTCTGATTTTCTTAAATTTTTATAGTGTTTATTCCTTTTTTTTTTATTCATTGTCTATTTTTAAGAATTCTGAACTAGTGACTGAAGGTGAATTGAGGAGTCACATTGGGGATTCAGACAAAGTGAGGCAACTTCAAGAAATGTTAGTCGAAATGAACAAAGGAGATGTGAGTAAAGTTATATTTCCATTAAGTAAATCATTTATATTGGGTTGTCCGGAAAATAATGCAGGATTTTGGTATTAAACAAAAAAAAAGAAACTAGTTACTTTAAAGCAATGTTCTTTAATCAAAATAATTTCCCATACTCTCAATACATTTCTCCCAACGTGTTGGTAACTTATTAATTCCGTCTGAGTAGAATTCAGAATTTTTAGAATTGATAAAGTCAATAAATGCATTTTCCAGTTCCGTTTGATTTTTGAATATTATGTGTTGTAAGTAGTGGTCCAGGTGTCTAAAAAAATGGTAGTCAATAGGCGAGAGGTCCGGAGAGTAGGGTGGGTGAGGCAAAGTTTCATAGCCAAGCTCCAATAATTTTTGTGACGTTACACGTGACACATGTGGTCGAGCGTTGTCATGCAACAAAATGGGCCCTTTCCGATTGACCAAAGAGGGCTTCATTGCTGCCAATTTCTGATGCATGGTATTAATTTGGTTACAGTATGATTCAGCATTGATGGTTTCGCCAGGATTTAAGAAGCTGTAGTGTATTAAACCAAATGAAGCCCACCATACCGTAACCATTACCTTTTTTTGATGAGTTGGGGGCTTTGGAAAATGTATTGGAGCTTCTCCTTTGTCGAGCCACTGTCCAGAACGTCTAGTGTTATCGTAGAGAATCCACTTTTCGTCACATGTAACAATTCTGGCCAGAAATGGGTCATTTTTGTTTCGACAAAGAAGTGATGCACAAACATCAAAGCGCTGATTTTTTTGGCGATCGTTTAATGAGTGTGGAACCCAATTTTCGAGTTTTTTCACTTTTCCAATCGCCTTGAGGTGGTCAGCGACGGTCGTTTTACTGACTTTGAGTTGCTCTGCAAGTTCTCGAACAGTTGTTTTGGGGTTTTCTTCCACCACTGATCGCAGAACATCATCATTAAGAGAGGAAGGCCTTCCACGACCTTCTTCATCTTCAAGGCTGAAATCTCCCTCCCGAAATTTTTTAAACCACCTTTGCACAGTGCACTCATTAACACAACCCTCGCCCCAGACTTGGTTAATGTTTCTAGCCGTTTGGGCTCCGCTTCGGCCGAGTTTAAACTCGTAAAAGAAAATCGTACGAAATTCTCGCTTTGACATTATAAGGATGACTGAATTATTTCCAAGTAGCGGAATGCTACAGAGGTAAACAAACAATATCATTTGGAAGAGGATTAATAAGTGTTGACATTCATACAAATGAGTAATCCTGTAAACGTAAACAGAATATTTTATATAGATTTTTTTTAATGAAAACTTAAAAACCTGCATTATTTTCCGGACAACCCGATATATTTACATACTCTACGCATATTTTATAATATTTTACTTTTTTTTCACAAGATGATTCAGTATGAATCATCAAAGGGACATTTATTTTCAAAATCCTTACATTCACCTCCATTAGAATGAACATAAATATTTTACAACAAAGAAAATATCCCGAACAAAAGGTGTTAGGAAGAAGCTATGTTTGAACTTGAACATTGAATTTTTTCTTTCATTGTCATATTGATAAATGAGTCATGTTCTTTTAGCTAGAAGAAAAAAGAAAAAGAAAAAAAGTTTGCTCCCTCAACGAATAAAACCATTAACAAAATATTAATAAAAGAAATTATTTAGGGAGAGGTTTTATGTTGTCCAAATAAATAATGCAGTTAATATTTTTTTAAATAATAATTTGAGAAATTAATATGTTTGTTATCAAAGGTTATTTATTGTTCTAACTCTTCTTTTAGGGGGGCGTCGGTGGCCGCAAGGTTTAGTCTTTGACACGGCGCTCATCACTGTAAGGTAAAGGTCCAGGGTTCGAATCCAGCGGCCCTGCATTCGAACCCGACAGACTTACAAATGGGCTTTTTTTCAAAAACACCGGCACCCCGAGGGTTTATATGACCTCTGCTGTTGCGAACCCTCGTAAAAAAAAAAAAAAAAAAAACTTCTTTATAGTACTTAGTATTTTATAGTACATACTTATTCATTTAAACACATTTATTCTCTAATTTTTGATTTATTGAATTGAAATAAATACAACAGAAAACTGAGAGAAATGACTTTTAAGTAGAACATTTAAAAAAATAAATATATAGTTTGGTCATTTTCTATCATTTTTGTCTGCCTTTCTTTCTGGTTGTGAGATAGTCAAATGAGTCTTTCTTCTTGCAACTTTCTCTTTTATACCAAACTAGCAAGACTTGGAAGGCCAAAATAATTTTTTGAAGCAACAAAACTACAGGTTCATCACGCCACGGGTTGCAGACCACCAAAGAGGAAATCTTATCATATTTTGGTACATAGTTCTTCTATGAAGTAATTTTATAAGTGTGTCTCTTTTCTTTTGGGCCCAACCCTGAATTCGGAGAACTGAAAACAAGGTCCCAGAGGTTTTTATGATCGGACCTGACTATAATTATCTAATTTATCGATCAGGCACCTTTTTTTAATATATTCCATTCAAACCAAAATAAATACGAGACCAAAATATTAATTAAATTTAAATCTTTTATTACATTTATTTCCAAATCAAATTTAATTCTCGTTTTATAAAGAGAAGTAAAAGTAAAGGAAATTATTATTATTATTATTTTTTTTTTTTTACCACCAATTCAAAAATACGATTAAAATTTTAACACAACTTTTAAAATCAAATGTTATTTCTTTTATTTTTCTTTATAAAAATATATTTTTTGTCACAACTCTTTTTAAATTAAAGTACAATTATTATTTTTTGTTTTGACGTCAAAATATAAAATTTACTCACTTGAATTGTGTACACACCAAATTTTTTCTTTATTACAAAAAAAAAACAGCTCTTTAACCCATGTGATGATTTGAAATGCCGTCAAATAGTCTTTGTTCCTTTTATTTATATTTCCACAAATTGTGGATTAACAGAAGGACAAACTGAGTTTCTAAATTTAGTTTAAAAAAAATGTTTTTTTCAGCTATTATATCAAAATTTGACGAATTCCACATAAGTAACAAATTAATCTTATAAATCAATTGTTAATTTATTTGTTATGTGCTTCAGAAAATAATGTAACTTATTGTGCTTGTAAATATGTTGGCAACTTTTGCAAGCGACTCTTTTTTTAATGAAACAGCCATAAAAGGATTTTAACGCTCCCCAAAGACTACAATATAATAAAATATATTTTTGGCCTTTGGCACAATAATGTATATAAGTGATATGGTTAGATTCAAAGATTTGGTATTTCCCAGCTGAAGACTCCCTCAACACCTGATATTGAGCCTTGGAAGTGGGTTGAGTAAGTTGGTCCAGATTAAAGCATGAACACTTACCGCATGGGTTCAAATTACAGCATGTGCTTTCCCTTTGTTTATAAATAATTTTATTTTATATAGTTTCCCCCCCCCCAATTATTGCCCTTTTGAAGCCCTATCCATGAAAGTAGATTCAGATATTTTATTCTGTAACTATAAGTAGATTTTATTTAGCCAGTTAACAAAAAAAATCCAAAATAATCAATTAGGTTATTTTATTGTTGCTTCATAAATAATTTTTTCCTTAATTTACAATGTTGTGATTTTTTTAATTAATGTTTTAAAATGAATGCTGTGAACTATCAACAATCTACCAGATGAAATACTGTTTTGGCAAGGAACAAAGGTTTCAGATGAACCTTAGTCTGTAGATTGTGTGGCATGTTGAATGCATTTTGTGGCAATTTTATTGAATGTAAATTTTCATAATTTGGTGGTATTATTCATAATAATATGTATTTTACTACTTGTCAATATGCTTTTCAATATAAAAAAACAATCAGCAAATAATTAATAATAATAATACTTTTTAGTCAATGTAGAAAATGGAATTTATTTAAGTTATGGTTGTCAAACTTAAATCACACACATTAAGCTAAGCAAAAAACATATTGGAAACACCAAATATTACAACTTCTCCATCAAACATAATTGACAATTAATCTGCTTAGTTGAAAGTAGCCTTCCTTGTATTCATGCGGGAATATGATTTTTTTTTTTTTTTTTACAAAATCGGTTGATCAATAATTAGTTGAAGTGGTGTGGAGCATCATTATCATTCCTGACCACTCTTCACTACTTCAACAAACATATCTTTTATATTCTATTATATATCATTATTATTTATTCAAATAAATTGATATATTATTTTTTACGCAAAGTGTGGTTCTCATGTGAGTATCGTTGAATATTAGCAAAAAAGAAGGAAATTGGTAGGGTGCAGGGGTATTTTCTGGATGTTGTGAGTTTGAGCCCTGCTTGACAACCACACTTTGCATAAAAAATAATATACCAATTAATATAATTGCTTTTATAATAGGACCAACTAAAAACAAATATATATTATTTATTCAACATATCTAAAATATTGACATCTTTTAGATACACCTCATCTGCAAGCTAAGCAAAGCCAAATTCCTTTGACGCATTTACTGCAGGATTTATTTAATTTAACTTGTTTATCAGGTTGATATTTTTTTATTTGGAAGAACTGAGAGTTTGATTTTTCTCCATGTCGTCATCATCAGTCGCTTTGCTAAAAATTAATATATACTAGTTAAAATAACTAATATAATTGCAATTTAATTATGGTCCCACATCAATTTACCATTGCTAATTTATACATCGTTGTGCAGCTATGATGCCACGAATCACAATGTTTGAGAATGGTGGAATAAGAGGTAAAATTTAAATACATATACATAGTTGTCAATTGGGGACCAATCACCACAGCTCAGTCGGTGGTAGAGCACCGTGGTACTAATCTGGATGCCAAAGGTCTGAGTCCCGCACGTGACACTAATTTTTCATCTCAACCTTCTTTGCATAAAAATTAATACGTATTGAAAAACTGGTTAAAACAATTATAATTGGTGATGATTCTCCTACATCATCCTAATTCATTTAATTGATTGTTTACACTCAAATATGCATTGTAATAAACTGAAAATATAAAATATGTAGATAAGAAGATAGAAAACATTAAAGATTTTAAAAAAATCATCTTTACCCATTGTTGAGATTTGTAGTTTTATCAGTCATCTGTTTTCTAATAATACTCTTCTATTATATATTTGGTTTTAAAACAAATGGCTATATAAATTGCTAATGCTGAATAATAATAATGTTAATTGTTTTAATTTTAGGTCATGAGCGATTCCTGGTCTAACAAAGGCATGAATCGATCTGGGTCTGTCGATACCGAGAGTGAACACGAAGAAACAGCAGATCTTTACATCAAGCTTGAAATGTAATGAAAGAATTATTGTTTTAAATTGAATTTAAATTAAGAAAGAATCGTCACACCCAGTAATACAAGGGCGGGAGATGGAGCTACTGATTTTTTGGCGAAACGATATCCCATTTTGATGTTTAATACTTTTAAAACAAATATTCCTTGTATAAAACTGTGCAAGGATTTGTTTAAAAAAAAAGTCTTATCTTCATTTAAATGAATTAATAGTTAAAACTAAATATGAAAAGTAGCGGTTTGCTCAGCTCTTAGAAAAAGTGAAAGTTACAGTGAAAGCACAAATATTTAATGATATTATTTATCTTTGTTAATTATTAACAGAGATATAAATGAACAAGTTGTGGTAAAAATTTTATTTTCCATCTACTTTAGAAGAAAATGACAAAAATTAACCATAAATAAGTTTAGGTTTATTTATTGTAAGTGTATCTTTATAACCAGTTAAGGAAATTAACATGGTTCTCAACACTTATAAACATTTTCATAGCATATAAACAAGCCTACTTTTGATAAATCTTTTAAATTTAATTAAATTGTATTAGAGATTTTATATAACTTGTAAAAAGGAATTTTTTTACAATATCGGATTGAGGACCATTTGTGAACAAATAAGTATGGCGTACTTCATCGTAAATGATATAATCAAACTCAAAATATTTGAAATAGAATCCCCTTGAAAGATTTCACGGGAGAAAAATTATTAGTTGAAAAAAGTGTAATTCAAGACTACATATCTCATATTATGTTTAAATAAAAATTACTTTTGTTGTATTCAGTAGCAAACGCTATTCAACAGTACATTTGTACCAATAGTTTTTAAATTAAATTAAATATTCTTGAAATTAAAAAGGTTAAGTAATTCCTTGCAGAAATTTTAATTTCTCATAGTGAATACTTTAAGGTTTGGGATTTATTATTTTTATTATACTTGCTTCTATGAAATTAAATTGGCATACAATTAGATATTATTTATACTTATTTATTTTATCCGTCCTTTTTAAGTGTATTTCTGTGAACTGATTTTATTTTAATTGTATACAAAACCCAGTATTTATTATATTAATGTTTTTTTTGTTAAAATTTGATTTATTTTTCTCCACACCATTTATTTGTATAGAACAGAGAATTGTAAATATAGTTTTTAGAAAGATAATAATAAAAAAAGTGCAATGTTTGTATATTCGTTTATTATTAGTTAAATATTTAAATTATTTTACAAACGTCAAATTATTACTCACATTCAAATTTTAAATTGGTGTGCATACTTCCCCTCTCAATTTTGCTACTTTATGTATCGGAATAGTGTATATTGTAGTAATATATATATAAACTAAGGTTTCTTTTGCTAACAATTATTCCTTTAATTGTAAAAGGTTTATAGAAAGAAATTTGGCTAAATATTTTTTAATTGCATATGTTCCTTATTCACGTCAACTGGATTTATTTGGATATCAAATTACATTCCAGAAAGTAGGTTATTTTTTTAGCAATTACCTGTGATCTTGCAATTATAATTTGCTTTCTTAATAAAGTTCTTTACTATTAAATTTTTCTGATATTAGTTTCTAGTATTTTTCACGGGACCATTAAATTAATTTGTCTGACACATCTTTCATATAGAATAATCTGTTAATTTATTGTTGTGTACTTATCATTTAACAATTAACCATTTTTAGATATAACAAGAAATAGTATTTTTATTATTAATTCACCATTTGTGATACATTATATAATTGTAATGCAGTTTACTGCTGTATTTGTCATTACTTTTTTATTCTTTTAGTAATATAGTTAGTTGTTTTTATTTCTGCTTCTCAAATTGCTTGTTTTTTCTTGTCTTAAAAAAAAAATATTTCAGTGTCGAAAAAATACAATGTTCATTGCTCATTTTATTATTTATTCAGTCAATTTTTTCTAGTGATATGGTTAAAATAATATTTTTCACACTTTTTTGATTTTGTAACATTGCAGTTTTGATTCATGGCTACACACGTGGTAAAAAAATAGACTTTTGGTTAATAAAATTGTATATTGCCAAATAGTTTTATCTTTACTGTACCTTGTAATCATTAAATTTCTGAAATCCCAATAAGCTGTTTTTAATCAATTATAAAAAATATCCAAGTATTTGTTGACAAATGAAGTTTTATGTGTAACCCATTGTACCAAGATTTAGGTAAACAATGGGCCTAATTTGAGTAAAAACAAATTAATTTCTTTCCCCGTTTTACACTATTTTCATTCTATCAAATCTATCAACTTAATTGTTTCTTCAATTATTATGAAAACAGTAAAAATAATTGAAGAATGAAGAAATTCCAAATAAGAATAATTTGCTTCGAGCTTTAGTGACCTTAAAGGAATTAAATTAATGATGCACAATGTACATTTTCTATAATGTACAGTCAATAAGTATAATTTGTGAGGTTCAGGAGCCAAATAGCCTTAGGTCATCTTCGGCCCTTGCTGGCCTTTCACGTGTATTGAGTTTTAAACATTTGAGCGTCCTAATCTGGTTGTTGATGATGAATATACCCATGTTATGTAGATGTTCAGATGTCTAAGACCAGCTAATAGACATCTCAGTCTGGCCATATCCAATTGCAGTTGTGAGTTTGCCAGTCTTGGTGAAGGTTGTTTTAGCATAAGTCTCTCTGCTTTTATACAAAAACTAAGTAGATATCCTAAATTGCTAGCCCTCTCATTTGTACCGTAGAATAGACACAAAACACAATAATGTATTACCACCCAACACAAAACATAGAAGTTTGGTCACACCCACTCCCCAGAGAATCTATATTTCTCGGGTTAAGTGACATCTTCCTTTCACATTAATAAATCACATTCATTTCAATAAATACAACAGAATCACATGTGAGCATAACACAGACTTATATACATTTAAAAATCCCTATAGGTCTGAGGTACTAAGAAAAACGATCTGGGCCTACCGCCTTGCCCCAGGACCAACTCTGATGATCAGTCAATAATCTTTTTAGATAATTAAGGTGTAGTTTAATACATTAAGTACTTATCTAAAAATCTAAAAACTATGGTAAAAGTAATATAAATATAAAATTAATAAAATAAAATCTACGGCCATTAAGTTAATTATAATTATTTTATGCTTAAATAATAAAAGAGTACATGTCGTGTGTGAACAGATAAAATAAATGCCAATTTAATAAAATTGAGACAGAAGTTCGTATGATATTATTTTCATACGAATAGCATTGAACGATTTGTATACAATTAAATAAACAATTGGTATAGTTGAAATTCTTTATAAAATACGTGGTACGTTTACCATTTTAGTTAATTGGAATTTTTTCTTAGTTTTTATTCAATGAAATTATTTTATCCCCTGTTGTGCTGTTGGGTAAAATTAGGGGATAAGCCCAAACCGGAAGGAAGATCATACATAAATAAAGTACGGTTGTTCTTATTTTTTTAAGAACATTTTTAAAATGTACCGATACTTAAAAACAAGCTAGGAGAAATCTAAGTCATACTCTCTTTATTCCTGCTCAAACCAATTTTTTTGCTGTTGATTGTTTGGTCCAGGAGATTTATATGTTAGCTAAAATAAAAAAAATATAAAAAATTTTTTAAAAAAATTAAAAAAAAAGCTTATAGCTTGGTAGATATCTCGTTATGTTTCTTTTCTTCTGTACGTATTTATTAGCATGGATGTGCAGTGCGAGAGTGCCAATGGTGGAATATTGAGTATCCCATCGACCCTAAATTAGATTAGTAATATGTATGTATAATTAATTCACTATTTTTGTGGTCCGCTTGACCAATTAATTAAACTCCCCATCTACCCCACCTTATGAATTTTCCCTCCTTTTGCCATTTTTCAAGTTTGGAGTTGATGTCCGAGTGGATCGAGGTCACGATAGCTCAGGTGGTAGAGCAGCGGCGTATCTAGCCGAAGGTCGTGGGTTCAAATCCCTCTCGTGCCATTAACTTTTTTTCATCTCAGCTAAAAACCTTAATTAATTGTCATGTATGTGTAATGTTGAATGAGTAAACGGTGAAGGAGGAATATCGACTATTCCACTACCAATGGAATGAATGGTATGTAAATAGGAATAAAAAATATTTAAGAATGAAAGAGAGTGTGAATGGGTTTGGATCTAGGAACTGCTTGCGTAGGATGCTGAATTGAACTTGTCGATAGCCCCTGGACTATAATGTCAGACCTCAGACTGCTAAATCACCGAAGCCATAAGTTCAATTATGTACATATGTGTATATTTGCATAAATATATGCAACATTGAGCTTTCTAGAGCTTAAATCAATTAAACAATATATTATATTACATAATTTTATATTAAACAACTCTTTTTAAAGAAAGTTAAACAAGCAATTGAGCATCGCATCAAAAGGAATGTGCAATTATGACATTAAAACAATTGCCCTTCGATGTTGTGTCATTAGTCAAACCCCTCCTCAGGAAGTTCAACTTGGATGATCATATGGGACCTTACATACTCAAAATCAGTGACAAAAAGAGTAGGTCACCCACTTTTTCTTTTGTGAATTCATGTTATCAATTAGAAAATTAAAATCACACTCTAGCTTCAAGTTTGGCGCGTTTACAAGCTTTTCTCTCGAAAAAAAATTAACGGACAAGAATTCTTGAGGCTTCACTGAAAATATAACTTTGTCTGAGAGTACAGATGGGAATTGAATATTCCAAAGTATGGAAATAATTTTGTTATAAGAGATCCTACAGTGAATATTATTTTTAAAAAATCCAACATATCTTGTGATACAACAGAGAAAATCCAATTTTCAATAATTATAATTAATAAACAAATAAAGTTAACAATTGACTCATGAAATGGTTTAAATTTAATTTAAAAGTGGTTTATGGAAAGAATCATTTAATAACTATATAAAATTAAGTTCCTAAAGGTGTCATTTCCCTACTTGTTCCTGAAATATTTATGTTAAACATTTTGCTAAGTATTGTCACAAAAAGTTTTACCTAAGCATAGTTGTATGAAACATCTGACTGGCACAGAATATTGTTTGGTGATCTATGCTGTAGGATTTACTGAATCCACGACAAAAAGGAAAGGCTAATCGTCCCCCTGAAATTTCTCGATAATATCAGAAATTGATGGTGACGAGTTGCAAAATTTCCTGTGCACTGTGTATTTCTACAGGAATTTGTCTCAAAGAAAAATTTCCTAGCTCATTTTTAAAAATTGATGATCCACCAGAGGGCCAAGGATATTTTCAAAGACCGCATTAATTTACCTTCCTGTATATTTAATAAAATAGAATATTGCAAGCTATTCTAAATAAAATTACTAGTAATTAATTATAATGTTAAAACTGTAATAAATTTTTTCTACAGAAAATTTAAGTGCCATTTCATTTGGGTTTGGATTCGTATAAGCTCAAATCTGCATGTAAATATATATATACATGCACTGAATTGAGCCTATAACTTCTCGCAGTCCACCGGCAATTGCAGCTTGTTTAATTTACAATAAATTAACATCAGGTCTTGATAATCACCCACCCGGGGTGTTGGCAGTCCAGGGTCTGACATCAGTCTTATCAGTCCAGCCACAGGGGTTGGGCTCCAGGTGCAAGAAGGTCAATTCAGCATTCAATACATGCACTTCCTAGATCCAAACCCATTCACTGACTCATTCATTCTTAAATACTTTTTATTCCTATTTACATACCATTTGCTCAATTGATAGTGGAGTACACAATATTCCTCCTTCTACACACATTACATGACTAATTTAATTGAGGATCGATGGGTACGCATTCTGCCATATACCCTCTCAAACTGCACATTTATGCTAATAAATACATATACAGAAAAAAATAATAGACAATAAAATAGCCCTGTTTTTTCCAAAAAAGAAGGGTCCAGATACCTGCTGCTGTGCTTAAGCAAGATTCGTGTATCTGGTGGCAATCCTACACGGTCTCTATATAGAGCCAAGGAGTTGCACCCTTCAATTAGGTGGACACATCGAGCAACCTTTCTCTAAATGCCAGACGCAAACGGCTTTGGTCAAAAAGAAAGTGTCCATGTCCACCTTGCATGGCCTAATTTTTAATCAGGTGAGGCTGACCCTTCTTCTTCGATTCAGTCCCTCCGAGAAACACCTATCAACAATGGTCCTGATCTGTGAGAGCTTCTCTGCCGTCCAGGCCACCGTTTTTTAATCAAGTTTTTTTATTTATATCATTTGTATCATAAGTGCCATTTCATATTCAACCGTTTAATGGCGTTTATAAGAATAACATGGTTTCTTTAAATCGATACACTAATTAAAATAATGACCACTAACCACTTTAAATAACAAATATTTCTCTTTAAATATAATAAGGGTTTATAAAAAGAAATATCTCATAAAGTAAAAAAGGAGAAAAAAATGCGATTTGTTGATTTATTTTCATCTTCGTTAGAGCGTAACAAATAGTAAAGAAACGTCTTATCTCAACTAACGCAATAAGATATTTTTGCACTCAAATAAGTTAAAAAAGTGATAATTAAATCTTGTGTTTTAGTTGCGCAATATTGTTTATATTGAAATATGTGTCTAATAAGATTGATTCGGAGGTCATTTATTCACTCTTATTAGCTTATATATTAGGCATTTTATTCATAACTTTCAGTACAGATTAATATGTTGTAACGTTAAGTTTTACATACTGAGAAATATACAATTTTTCTTAAATAAGAGAAAGAGTTTTGTGAAACAGATGTTTACATGGTCTTATGTATAGTTTGTTCGTTTCAGATCATCTCATCCAAGAGAGAGTGCGAGTGAGAGAGATATGCTGATATTTAACATCGATAAGGAGAAAATATAAATTATTTATATGAGATTTTTAAAATTGAAATTCATTACAGCTGAATTTCACCAAGAACAAGTAGAGCAAGGAACCGATGGCTTTACAGCAGACGACGTAACTTGGGATTCATGAAAACGATTTGCACGGGGTGTCTATCGATTACTAACGCTTTCCCTGCCTGAAAATCCTGCAATCTCTCTT